ATTGCTGATTCTAGATACTTCCGATACTTGCATGTTAAATTGCATATAAACAGACCTGTTTGAGAACCAGCATTGAGGTAAGCAGAGCTAAACTAAAGAAACATTTATTGGAACTTTTATGATCAAAACCCAGTCGACCAGAATTTTTCCAAACATATCCTTTGTAATTATAGGAACGCTCAACTTAATTATTAGAAAAGGGTGTCAATGGGGTGATGGCTTTTACGGCCACGAAGATTAAATTTTTAACCATTCTACGTTCAACGGTTAACTTCCTTCCTTGGTGAGTATACGTAAAAAAATTAATGGTTTCCTTTTTGACTTGTAACAGTTAAAGTTTTTCAATTTTTACGCCTAAAAGTTAATTTTTTGGGCCATTTTGCGGCTAGTGGTTAACCTCATCGAGACCCTTTTGAAACATTCTAAATTTGGAAAAGTGCTGAAGTAATTTTACTCCTAGTTAGTATTTGACTATATTCCTAAATTGTGGAAACGCTTCAAACTGACCGAAATCTCACTCATTTAATGGAGACCACTCGACAAGTAAACAATTTATAACAGTTGTGAACTTATGGTACTTTTTTTTTCTTATTCCCTTAAACATACATTGGCAGAATTAAAGCGTACTTGCCTCTTAAATTGACCGATTTCTCGTTCTAATTTCTTTTATAGTCTCTTCCAAATAGTCGTGATGACAAAGAATATTTCTGTGATCAGAAAACAATTTGTCCCAGTAAAATATATAAACTCTGTAAGAGAATACCACCTGTGTAAATCTCCTTACCGCAACAATTGCGCAAAAACAATCATCAGAAATTGATTCACTCTTCTCTATGCCATAGACTCGAATTGCAATCTGGAGTGAGCTGACAACAAAGGTTGCAAAATACGATAAAAACAGAAGAAATATATTAATTTTGAGGAAGGCAAATACTGTAAAAGGATATTGCCTGTAGGAGCGATTTATTTGAGTGAAGTTTAGGAAGCTTATCAAAACTACCTGAACACAATTGTCCATCGTTAGAGCTAAAATCAGACAGATCTCCATCATCTCGTCATTTTTGTGAACAAGGATCATCCCGTAGCCTACAACTGTCATCAAGAACAAGGCAAGAAGACTCCAAAACGCTGGAAGCTGAACTAGCAGCCTCGGGATGAAAGACCACCCTAAGAAAGAAGGTACTCTTGATACAGCCAGGAGTACCAAGGCGCAGTTGCATACCTGGGACATAACCCACGCGAGCTCCAGTTGCTCAGAACGATCAAACGAGGTGATGTCTGCTAGTTGGAAGCTTGCACGTTTGGAATTGAGACTTACTTCAAAGGCACGGATTGTGTACAAGATCAAACCGATTACTTGCCAGATGAAAAACAATACATAGGCAATGTAACCCATTACTCTCACAACGGTGGAGGTCAGAAAACGCGTCATTACCTGGAATAGACGGCTTTTAAAAGAATTCTCATCTTCATTTATATGCACGTATGGAACTGTAAAGTCATGTTGCTGGTCCTCCATCTGAAATGAAACAAAAGACCCTGATTAGGCTGTACGTTTTGCTTTTTGCAACTTTATCACGACATCATTCCTTCCTAAAATGTGAAAACAGTGGATCAAGCAGAGAGACGAGTCCACCATGTCGGCCTTTTCTAGAGGTAGTTCTTCGTGAGGCCACCTTGAAACATCAAAATTTATGGTGGCTCTAAACTGTACTTACGGAGTATTTTCAAACTTTGTAGGAAAAAAAATCATGATGCACTGATCGAGGTTCAGTCATTAGAAATGGAGGTCACAGAACTGGTTCTGGGATACAGGAAGATAAAGCTAAGATTAAAGGGTGTTTCTGAGAGACTGGAGTGTTTGCGTAGTAGCCTCATATGTAAAAAAAAAAATGATAACATACATTAAAAAATTACGCGCTTCTGATAGGCTGAAAACGAGTGCATTTTTCATGCAACGTGGGTGCAAAGTCGTAACACGAGTGCAAATTACAAAGTTTCGTCTGTCTTGACTTTCTGTGATGCTTTTTTCACCTGCAAATTTTTCAAAGACTAAAAACTGCTGATGTCTTTGAAAATTTTATTTTTGCTTATTAACACCAAAATGCACTCGAAATCATGTTATTACCTATAATAATCACAACATGTTCAAAATCATTTTGCCCTTTTGTTGATACTTCCTGCAAGGAGACAAACGAAGATGTGTGGAAGCCACTTCCGGTCAAAGGATTGGTATTTAAAAAAAGTTGTAGGAAGATTCCAGATTATGTCAGATCATTGTTCTAGAAGATTATGTTCACTTTGGGAGCGGTTTGGATATCTTCATGAACAATTATAGGAAGCTGCATAGTAAGTCATTCATCTTTTCCGTAATCGAGTGAAATAGCAATTTTTCGAAAGGAAAAACCATTCGTCTTCCTTGAAATATGGCCTCTGTTGGGAAAGTCATTGACTGAGAGTGATCGCTTCTCGACAATGATTATTGCACTGAAATGACACCAAGACCTTAGAATTTCTACCGTGGAAACTCTCAGCTGCTACAACTACAATTTGCCAAGGCGTGCATTTCTTTCCATGTATTGAGAACGGAGTAACAGTAATTTACAGTTAGCCCCGGCATTATATTTGACATGCTCCTGAAGAGATACATAAACGAACATGATACGATAGGGAGATAAAGCGTGACAAATACGGCAAACAGAAAAAAATAAAACTTCTAGCCATCTACTTCCAACTGTTTTGCAAAACCCTAAATATGTTTGTATTCGCTGTGAACCAGAGATTTATGGCTACTTTTCCACAAGGATGAAAGGCTGAGGGTTAAGAAACTTGAAAATTGTAAGTATCCATTTTTTATTTCCATTAACATCATACTTTTAGAAATTTACTGTTGTCTCCGATAAGCCAGTCCATGTCGAGCAAAAATTTCATTTAAACCGGAACTGATAGACTGTACAGCTGATCTGAATAGAATATCTCGAAAAGTCTTAAATATAAGATGTTCGCTTTTAGATCATTCTTGACATGTCGACCACAATTTTCCATTGCCCGTGCTCTTATTAGTAATATAAATTACTCCAAATAAATTATATTTAAAATGAAATTGAAACCACCAGGCACAGTCATGAGATTTCACCGCAAGGTTTTGAACAAGCTTTCATGTCAGTAGAACCTGCTTTTCCGATACTGAAGTGAACGACATATTAATGGTCTGAGAGTCGAAACTTGATTTCGATTTTCGCTGCGTCCCTTTGTTTTCTTTTTGTTAGCTTGTGACCTCCTGTGCACAAGAACTTACCCGCTTAAATCTCTGAATGCTGAGCTGGTGTACAAAATATTCCACACTTCTTCTGATTCGTAATGATTTTGAAAGGGTCTGCTTCCCATACAAATAAAATGAAGACTCTTTTGGGGAAATCACTAGAACGAACAATTTTTTATAATATTGTAATGTAACACTCCAAATCTTCAAAACTGGACAGCTTACCTCAATTGTGCGGCAAAGATGCGTCCTCAAATAACGTTTATCTACTTCTGGCTTCTCTGTACTGAAGAATTCGGGTAAGTAACGTCAGTGCAAATGATGTCAGTATATCTTTCTCGTGTAATTGCTGAACGAAGTAGATTTCTCAAGTCCTGTCTAGACTTACTGAGCCCTAATAGCGTATTACTGAATTGCAAATTAAGGGTTTACGGCCGTTTTAGAGGGGTTTACCCCAATATGTAAATATTTCACTTCCTGCTATCCAAATTTAACGATCAGGGAGATTAAAGAGGCTGCGTTTATGAATCTTTTTTTCTCTGAGAACTTGCCTCTCTAAAGTAAGTAGTCTAAGGGAAATCGTAATTTATTGGTTGTTTTCGAAAGCCAGCAGATAACAACTTGATTCGAAACAGCATTAAATGAACTCACTGGGGCATGAACAAGCAAATTTCATTAACATATTCCCTTGAGAAAAATTTATGGCGAAGAACTGCTCCTACTATTACTAATTCACGACTTACAGAATGTTTTACATGGTTGATTCTATTTCAGAAAATATAGAATCCCATGCAATCCAGTCCTTCTCTTTTTCATAAGCAAACACGAGGTACTCCTTAAGCTCAACTAGCTTCCCTCATACATACCAATACACTCCCATAAGCACAACATTAGTAGAACAGTGAGCACTGTAACTTACTTACGTCAGGACTTCGGCGGAACTTTTCCGACTAAAAGAAACGCTGAAGAGCCTTGCATTTATTACTACACTTTCTTTGTTATCAGTCGTGGTTGTTAGAGGCCAACATGTGATGTCATAACTGCCTGGTATATGTGATGTCATTCACCAAAATTGCGGCTCAGCATGAAAACATCTCAAAATGAAATAAATCAGAAAAAAATTCAAATCAGCACCGCCAAAAACTTGGAAGCTATTCGGGGTGCTGTCCGCTTTTCATCAATTTGAAAGGATGTGCCAAAAGGCTGATCTTCATGTAAAGCAGCGATTCTCTGTTGCACCTTGTTTTTGATGTTAATGGTAATTTTTGGTGCACTTTCCTTTGATCTATTGAGTGAGTAGGTTTCGAAAGATCAAAGTAAAGTGAGACTTGTTTCCCTTCCGCTTGCATCCCTGATAGGTGCATGGGTATTTGCAAACTTAGATCAGCAGTTGTTTCTTGATGCCGTTGGAAACTTCTTTATTACATGTGTCTCCTTTAATATTCGTTCAGTCTCACCACAACAACAACTGGGTGAGAAGACGTCTAAGCAATGAAATGCTATGATCAACTCATGACATGTCTTTTATTAGTGACTTAAATCTACCTGAAGATGAGAGGCATTTGAATAAGTGCCATATTTGAACTTTTATACCATGGTATACATATACATATTCATAAGTATTTAAGTTTCAATTTTGATTTTATCTATATGAAACATAACAGTTAGTCTAAGCATTGATTTATGTGCGAGGCAGATTAAATTAACTTCAAATAAGTTTACGAATTCGCTGAATTGCTGAGAAATTGACGCGGTGTAATTGTAAGAGGCCTCAAGACATTATAATCTCTTGGAGCCCTTCATTACGAAAAATAGCCTCGGGATTTTAGCCAGTTGAGACAACCCAAAGAAAAAGTATTAATGAATCAAACAGTTAGTCTTCTGGGGTGAAGACTGCTTGAAGGAATGCATACGAAACTTGAAATTTGTTTTTCTCACGAATCGCCACAAGAATACACAAACCAACCTACCAAAGGCTTAAACTTCCAAAGCTGAAGAATGCGGTAGATTCTCCATATTTTAAGCCTAGATTTAAATTTTTAATTTTTTTAAAATTTAATCAAAAGATCGATTACCGCATGATTCATTTCATTGCTGCAAATAAATTGAACACCTTAAAGGATTCACTTTTCGGTAAACAATTTGTACGAACTCTTAGGAGCAACCTATGCAGAAGTAACACCTTTCGTGTCTTCTTTCCTCAAACAAACTGTGAGGGCTTTTAACGGTACCCTGAGTTTGTAAAATGTTAAGTTGATGTACATATGCAGGGATATTTGTATAGTCATATGTAATTTCAGATGCCATATTCATACGATACATAACACCGTTACTGACTAAAACCATAAACTTGCAATGGATGCCAATGGATGCCAAAAATCTATTTTCTGTTAATAATGGTAATTGAACTGAGAGGAGTGCAATTTGGGCTGAAATCATACGCGTGATTTCAAAATCGAATGAGCACGCAGCGCGAGTTCGATTTGAAATCACGCGCATGATTTCAGACCAAAATTGCACGACACGAAATTCAATTACCACTTTATTACATCCATTTTGAAATCGCCGAAACACAGGACTTGGTCAGTTAAAATATTTTATTGATGCAGTGCTGAGCCGGTCTGAAATTAAATTCATCTATTTTCTGGGGTGGAAAAAGTAAAAGTTGGTAAACTGTCGACAAAAGTTGCAAAATTTGCCACATGATACTCTTAGTCTTTCATTTTTCTGCAATTTGATCGGTTACTTTGAACAAGCCTTCAAATCTGATTTGCTGTTTTGTTTTTAGTGTAGCCTGCTCATTGGCTGGGAAAAAGATGCGATTTAAAGGAAAAAATGGTGCAATTTGTGAATAAATCGCATCAATTAGAGCCAATCAGATTACAGGGACCACCAGTGATTTCAAAATGGGTGTAATAAATCGTGAAAAATTTTCATTTCATGTCAGGATAATAGGATAACGTGAAAGTTTGGGAATCGGCACCTAACATAACAAAATTTCATAATTTTAAACTAAGAATGATTTTGATTAATGATGTGGCACCTTCTCCGCTCAAAATTCGCTGAGGAAAGTTATAACGCTTTGATAACGCTTTATAACAAAGGTAATTGTCAAGTGATTACCAGAGACATCGTCGTTTTCTTAAACGAATCCTCTCCCGGAAACAGTGAAAGATTGTGAAATGGCCAATAAATTCCCCTTGCATGGGAAATAAATGCTTACTTTCAAACCTGTCAAAGTTACCGATACAGCCACAATATTATTTTGAAGTGCAACCCCGAAGAATTTTCTCGTTCTGCCATGCTTATGCCCTCATCGTCAACCAAATCGCCTCTCAAAAGACCTAAAAAAGACCTAAAAAAGCCCGCTAAATTTATATTCTGTCAGTTCTATTGAAAATTTTCTCGTTCTGCCATGCTTATGCCCTCTTCGCCAACCAAATTGCCTCTCAAAAGACCTAGAAAAGCCCACTAAATTTATATTCTGTCAGTTCTATTGCCTGTCCCTTGTTGTTAATGAAATTTGAGTTCTAAGGGGGGGGGGGCTCTTTTCCACAGCAGGGACGGCTGTTCCGAAGGTCAGTGGAAAGAAAAACAAATGAAAATTAGCAAAGTTTTGTGTAAACAAGTCACGTACACGAATTCAAATCCACGGTAATCATTTTGCGAGGCGGCCACTATGTTTCAATAAGTTTCCAACATGAGAAAAACCGTCTTTGAGTTCAATTTTCAAGTCACGCAAGATAGTGGATCAGACTATAGGAGAAGTCAGTTTTGTTTGTTTTAGACTTAAATTTTGGAAACAACACCTTCCAGACACTTTTTACAGACATCTGGTGGTATTTACCCTCTCTGCGTGTTGAGTCATGAACAATAGCAAGAGATTAACTAATACAATATGTAAAACTTTTATCCACGGTCACTGATGCAGGCGTCCGTATCTATAGTTACTTGGACTGTCTTCAAAAACCTTCAAAACTGCCGCTTATAAATAATAAACATATCATAACTCGGACCTGATTGACTTTTGAAACCTCCCACAAAAAAGTGAGAACTATTGTTGGCTTAGTCATGGAGAATTAGGGTTTTAAGCTATATAGCAATTAGGGACTTATAAACCAGTCAGGTTTGCTTGAAAAGCGAGAGTCAGAAATTGCAGCGATGAAGCTTATTGCAATTATTTTCCTGGTGTATTTCTCCATTTCCGCAGATGCTGGAAAGGGAGGAAGCAAATTCTGCAAGAGTGCAGATATGAAGTTGGATGAGCTCAAGGACATGATAGAAGACAAGGAGTGTCCGAGTCCAGGTGATGAAAATTCAGTTTTCAAGTATTTTGGTTGCGTATTTGTTTGTTGCAGAAATTTTCAGTTTTTATGTTCCTTGCTGACGTATGTAATAACCACGGTTTAACCAAAATTTACGAGTTTTTGTTTTTGATTTCCTTCTAGTGGCACCTCCTGAACCGCTCATGTCTTACAAGGAGATTTATGATGCAACCGGGTAAATACGCTCAATTTTTCGTGTGAAATTATGGCGAATTTCAATTTTATAAAGTTAAAAAAAACGGTACTCCTGCATTTTGACACAGTCCCTACAAAAAGAACTCTTTGTTTTAAGGTCAAATGAGAACAAGGCATACATGGTCGATTTGAACGGCTGCAGGAAGCTGCCTGTTTACTGCAACATGGATGGCGCAGGTCTTGGTGACTGTGGAGGCGGAGGGTGGACACTGGTCATGAAGATTAATGGTGCAAAGGTATCCACAAAGTTGATATTGCTCATCAGGTTAGCCTCTCGCGTAGTTCGGCTGTCTTCTCATTAGTATGGTTAAATGAGAAAAATTGCGGTTGCATTTAAATGAGAAATAATTTTGTAGTATAGAAGGCTGCAATTACATCAAAATGAGGATAAGAGCACAACCGTTTTTATGAGAAATCTCAACTTCATTATTTTCTTTTGTAGCAAACGTTTAAATACGATTCACCGCTTTGGACAAACAGGAGAGAATACGGCCTCCCTGAAGGGGAGTCTGGCCTGGATGACCAAGAGACCAAGTTACCAACCTACTGGAACACACCCTTCACCAAGATCTGTCTCGGTATGAAGGTTGGTGAGGTCACTAAGTTCTTTGTCTTGAACCAAAAGGCAAGCTCGCTGTACGCCCTGATTGCAGATGGCAAATATCGCAAAACCTCTCTGGGTCGGGACGAATGGAAGAAGTTGATCACTGGTGCTTCCCTACAAAACAACTGCCAAAAGGAGGGTTTCAACGTCCTGAGTGTTAACGCCGGTGCTTCTAGGGCACGAATTGGAATCGTGGGTAACAATGAAAAC